ATATAATTAATAATAATAATAATAATAATATAATAATAATAATAATAATAATAATAATAATAATAATAATAATAATAATAATAATAATAATAATAATAATAATAATAATAATAATAATAATAATAATAATAATAATAATAATAATAATGCATTATCATTTTTGAATCAAAATTAGCATTATCATTAATATTAACTAATATGTGTTATTGCACGAGTCACGTTTAGATTTATCTTACGCGTCGTTCACTTTTATTAGTCAAGTTTGAATTTATTTTTCAATTGATTAATATTCACATAGTTATAAATATAAACTAATACTATGTAACAACTTTTAAGTGTTTGATTTGTACTTATAATAAATTCATATAATCGATTTTCTAACTTCAATTATATTAAACAATAACAAAAGAAGTATTTAAAAGATGAACATTAAAATGAACATTATATCAATAGTATATAAGCAAAAGAAGTCGTTGGTGTCATGTCCCGGGCTGTAGGAGTGGTAAACACAAAATGCGTCGGGATGATAGTGAGGAGAGGAGATATTGAGCTTCTGAGGAGGATCCTTTAAGGTAAGCAGGTTGACCTCCATCAGGCGCTTCAGTATGAAAAATGATGGTATTTCAGTCTCCGTGAACTATCTTCCCAACGCTTCTTGCTTACGCCGATTACCCCGTTGACGCTGGCGAGGTTGTTGATGGGCTTGTGACCCTGAAGCAAGCAAAGGAGCTTTCCCCTTGTCTTCTTGAGTGGATGGAGGCTGAGCGGTGACTTGCTCTTCAACCTCAGATATTTGCCCCAGTTGGTTATTTGGAAGCAGGTTGGCGGACAAGAACTCTGAGTTCCTCTTGTCTTTGAGATAGGTCTTGGATGAGAGCCATCTGGCCCACCAACTGTCCCATCATTTGGGTCCTCAAGGTTGTCAGATCAAACTGCAGGCTCCGCAAGCTGATCACTCCTGGCATTGTTGGAATTCTCCAAGCCCTTTGTGAGGAGAGCTTTCATCTCTTCTTGCCCCAAAAGACAAGTTCAGGAACATCTCCTGCAGCTGAGCAGTCTGGTCTTGAATGTCTTTGACAGACCTTTCTAGAGCCATCTCTTACTGAAATAAACAACAGGAGAGTAAGGAAACCTGAAAAAGGAAAGACTGTCAAAATTGCAATGCATGATATGTGGATGCATGCTTTCAAGGATCTCTTGGGGTAAACACAAGAAAAATGTTAGAGGTTGAACTTTGCTCTTGGATTGGAGATCTCTGCACCGGTGGACGTCTTTCCACGAGAATCAAGCTCACCATGTCGAGTGGGTCATAGCCACTAATTCAAGTTGTTGTACTTGATCTTTGACTGGAGAACTTTGTATCGGTGGATGTCTTTCCACGAGAATCAAGCTCACCATGTCGAGTGGGTCATAGCCACTGATTCAAGTTGTTGCACTTGATCTTTGATTGCATTAGTTAGAGGAGAAACCCCTTGCCCCTTGGTAGATGTCTGGTTCAACGTAACACTGCATTAAAAGAACCCTCGAGATCCTTGAAATGGTTATTGAAAATGCTTATGGTATGATGTTATGATGTTATGTACATGTATGCAAAAAGCAAGTGAGTGTATATACAGGCAAACATATTCACACAAAGCAAACAAGTCCTTAGGTTTAGGCTTGCATGGGGTTCAGGTAAATACCCCTCTTGAAATTAGTTGGCTCATCCTGTCCTAAAATAGAAACCGGGTTCTAAGGAGCTCAATATCATTGGACTGTTTTCTGTGTTCATTGTTTCGGTTTAGCCACTTAACTGACGACCAAAATATTCCAAGAAAACAACCCTCAAATGAGTGTAGTATCGAGTATCTACCAACTTCGGACTGCACCAAAGTCGGTCATCTCACTACCCCTAAAAAGGCTAAGATGGTCAATTAAGGTTCTAAGAGTTCGTTAGTGCTTCATGACATCACACAGCGGCCCCGTACTCTCCTTGACTACTCAAGGGTCATCGGGTACTCACAAATATGTCACACTAACATAGCTTACTGCTTCAACCGTGTCGGTATACCCCCGCACAGTTCCCTCGCAGTTTTTTTGCTATTTACCTAAGAAGGTGCCCTAAATCCGGGTGTAGGATTTACAACAAACCCAAACGAGAACCCAAAAGATAAAGCAATCAAGTCAATCAAAGCAAGAAAGTAAAGGTGATCTAAACCCTAAGGTAACCCCACTTTGAAGCTTCTCCCCAGCAGAGTCGCCAGTTCTGTGATATGGTGGGAGAACTGACTGTGGTTTTACGTTCGTATTCGCACTTGTGCGGGTTGAGCAAGAGTCGCCACCGACTTTTTATTTTTATCCTAAAGGAAAGGTTAAAAAAGCACAGCAAAAATCTTTTGAGATATTTCGTGGGTCAGGGGGGGTAGATTATGAAAAGGGGAAGGTATTAGCACCCTTTTCATCCATGGTTATCCATGGGCTCTTAGTTACTTGGTTTTTTTAGATCACTTGCCTTGATTTTCGATTGCTTGAAAATAGTGTGTGTGTGTGCGTGTGTGTTTTTGAAAATGTTTTGAAGAAGATGCCTTGTCTTAGGCTAACCTTGTAACAATTCTTTACTCGAATATTTTACAAAGGTGTGTATCTTTTCGAAAAGTTGTTTCAAAAATGTTTTGAGAGTTTGTTTTGAAAGTGTTTGTGGAATGTGGTTTTTGAAAAGAAGGCAAGTGTTTTTGCAAGTTGATCTCAAGTAACTAAGAGTTTTGTCTACCATATTGTACTCAAAGGTTTTCTCTATGTTTTCAACCCTTTTAACAATTTTGTTCCACCATTGAATTTGGTGGATAATCTTGCGTTTAGGATGTTTGTTCGGGATGGGCGCGGGTCATCGTATGGACCATGAATGCAATGGTGCCAAGTGTCTTTGGCAATTTGCTTTGAAGGGACTATGATCATTCCGTTTTAGGTAACATTCGAAAGCGTCATCGAGGGACTTATGATCATTTGAATTTGTTTTGCCAAAGATACTCGACGTGCAAGCATGGCCCATTTTGGAAGGCGACACGTGGGATTACCCTAGAGGGTGCAAGTGTGATTGTGTATTGATTTCATCTATTTGTCTTGCATTAGGTTATCTAGCGTTTGATTTTATGTACATGCAAACCGTAGGTCTAATCATGGTATAATTGAAAGCGGTAAATTGCGAAAATGTAAAATCTACGCTATTACAAAATAAGTATCCGGGAGTGGGGGTACAAATTTATGAATGGGGATGAGACTTAGGAATATAGTGTCCAATAGTTACAACCAAATCGAATTTGCGATCAAATGTAAATGTAACGAATATCAATGGATAAGATAAGCAAATGTGTATAGGGGCAATGTGAATGTATTGTGTAAGTGTACGTGCATATGTATATATATTTGTACATGTAATTATTTACAGGTTAGAGATGTGAAATTAAATGTGTATTAAGTATTGTTTTGACCTAAAGAAAAATTAAATGTTTATTAATCTTTGATTTGTGATATTGTATTATTTAATATGCACAAAAAGATAATTTTAAGAAAAGGAAATATTCTGAGTTTGAAAATTATTATTTTACATTTGATATAAAAAAGTATCTTTATATTTTATGTTTTATATATGCAAAAGAATATTTCAATTAAATGTTAAGAATTATGTATAAGAATGTATCTTTATTTATTATGTACAAAAAGTATGTTTTAAATATCAAGAATTAAATTAGAAAAAATGTATGGTTTTATTTGTTATGTACATAGATTTAAAGAAAATGTGAGTTTAATTGTAAAGAGAAAATATTAGTTTTCTATATAGAATTTAATTATTATATATATATATGAAAAAAGTATTATTAATGTCAAAAATATTATGTTAATTTATTTAACGACAAGAAAAAAAGATGTTTTATATGCTAAAAAAAGGTTTGATAATTGAATGGGTCAAAAGGGGGATTGGGCCCATACTAAACAGAATGAATAGGTAAAAAAGGGGGTTTTTGAATTGGAATACGCTTGGGCTTTGTGTTTTGTGAAACGGGTTAGGCCCAGATGTGGAAACGAACACTTTAGGGTTAACGCGTTTTGTTCAGTTGGGACATTGGCCTAGGGTTTTGAGAGCGACAGAAGCGCCGTTCGTCCGTTTTCATCTTCTCCTGTCTTCGTTCAATCTTTACCAGGAACCTGACTCTCCTCTTTGCCCAGCCATCAGCGCCTCCGCCTCCTTCGCCCTTCCTTGGTTCGGTGAAAACGAATGAGGGGGTAATCGTCCTTACTTCGTCTTTGTCTAGCGCGTTTTTAGAGTTTTGTTATTTGTATGTTTATGGTTTTACTGCTTCTTCTTGATTAACTGTTTGATTTGATTTCTTATGCTGTTCGTTATTGATTTTATTGGAGGTACGTGAGAAGGGATGAAAGAAAAATGTCTTACCCTTTACTGAAGAGGGGAAGGAAGGAGATGGGAGGTGCTTAGGAGGCTTGATGGCGAAGAGGAAAAAATGCGTGATGCTGATTGGCTTTTTTGGTCAACCTGGTATTTCTATATTCTTTATCTTTTTGCCATTTGAGGGTTTTGATGATGATATGGACTGAAAACCCCTTTTGAATTCACCTCTTTCTTCTTCTTCTTTGCCTTTAATGCTTGTTGCCTTGAACGTGTTTGTCGTATGCTTGCTTATGTTGGTTTAGACTGTCTTTGAACGTTGCTTCTGTATCTTCTTTGAGTTGCCTTGACTTTGTTGCCTTTCGTCCCTTCTCTGAGTTGCCTTTTTGATTTGCTTCTTTTCTTCTTTGCCCAAGGATGAACCTAGGGTTCTGAGGGCCCTGGATGCACGCTCATGTTG